GGGCAAGGCAGGACAAAGATGCTCGGAATCAGTATCGTTCAACAAGCGACCGCTGACAAATAATTGAGGCAGAGAAACCTACTTCACGACCACCGCCACCCATCGCGAGGAAATCTCCATGGATCTGCCCGCCGAAATGACCCACGTCACCATTTCGACCTACGGGGGTCCAGAAGTCCTAAAGCCGGCCCGGACGCCAGTACCGGTTCCCCGCGAAGGAGAACTGTTAGTACGCGTTCAAGCTGCGGGTGTAAACCGGCCCGACGTCTTGCAGCGGATGGGCAAATATCCACTGCCCGCCGATGCCTCCCCTATCCCGGGTCTCGAAGTCGCCGGAGAGGTTGTGCAACTCGGTGCAGGTGTGACGACTTTCAAAACAGGCGATCGCGTGTGCGCCCTCACCAACGGCGGCGGGTACGCCGAGTATTGCGTGGTTCCCGCCGGACAGGCACTCCCCTGGCCCCAAGGTTTTACCCCCGTACAAGCAGCCGCAATTCCGGAAACCTATTTCACCGTCTGGGCGAATCTCTTTCAAATGGGCCACGCGAAATCCGGAGAGACCATCCTCGTCCACGGAGGCACCAGCGGCATCGGCACCACGGCAATTCAACTCGCCAAGGCATTCGGCATCCATGTCATCGCAACCGCCGGCAGTGATGAAAAGTGCGCTGCCATACAAAATCTGGGAGCCGTGGCCATCAACTATCGAACACAGGATTTTGTGGAAGTCGCCAAATCGACCACCGACGGCCGTGGGGTCGACGCGATTCTCGACATCGTGGGCGCCGCCTACTTCCACCAAAACATCGACACACTTGCCCTCGACGGGAGATTGCTGCTGATTGGCTTTCTAGGAGGTGCCAGGGTCGACGGCTTCGACCTGTCGCGGATCATGACGAAGCGAATCGTGGTCACCGGATCGGCCATGCGACCACGGTCGCCTCAAGAGAAGGCCGGCATCACACAGGAACTGCTTGCGGAGGCATGGCCGCATCTTGGCAAGGGCAAGATCGAACCAATCATCCATGCCACCTTTCCTCTGGATTCCGCCGCAGACGCACATCGACTCATGGAATCGAGCGACCACATCGGCAAGATTGTCCTCACGGTCGACGAACCAACCGTCTAACGCCCAATGCCGCGGCTCACTCCCCCGCCCGCAGGCGGTCGCGGTTCTCTTCAGTCATCGTGACTTGCACGTCTTCGACCTGCCCATCGTCACCCTCCAGGCCCAGGGTTACATCCCACGCCGGTTCGTGTCCCATCTTCGACAACAGTTCCACCAGGTCCTCGGCAAACCGCTTTTGGGCCTTATCTCCAAACTCCTGCTGAGCAAACTCCAATATCTGCTCAATAGGAATACCATCGATCGTGGCCAACACCGCCCAGCGTCCTTGTACCTCGACAATCGGACGACCATCTTCCCAGCGAACCCCCGTGAACGGAGCAACCTTGGCATAGCCATGCTCCGTCACTGTCCTCCGGCTTTCCGGTGCGTATTCTTGCACCAGCGCTGCAAGAATCTGTGTTGCCAAACCATCGACGCTGACGGCCGTATTCGACAACACGAATACTCCGAATTTCTGATTTTCGGTAAACCCAAGGTAGCTTCGGAAGCCGCCGGTTCCCCCGTTGTGCCAGATGATGTTCTGAGAAATGCTGTCGTCGAACGATCGAATCCAGTTCATGCCCAATGCACGGTTGCTGTCTTCTTGAAACAACTCCTGGTGCGAACGCTGGATGGCCACGTCGATCGGCGTAGCCTTGCGACCCATATTTGCCTTGAGAAACGTCATCATGTCGTTGCCCGTCGAGCGAATAGCCCCCGTAGCGGCGAGATGATTCGGGAACACCCACGCGTCGGTCTCCAGTCCGAACGTGGCCGGCCCCACCTGCACAACCGTGCGATACTTCCCTGGCAGATGTTCTTGATGCCAGTCACCATAAGTAATCACCGTGCGGTCCATTCCCAGCGGTTCACAAATCCTGCTCTTCACCAGTGTCTCGTAGTCCGAACCATTCTGCTGAGCCAGCACAAACCCCAGCAGCCCCACGGCGAAATTCGAGTAGCTGCTCACCGTCCCCGGTTCTGATTCAAGTCTTACCGTCGCTAGTGCGTCACAAAACTGCGCCTCGCTGTAGTCGTTGTAGGGATCGCCGCCAAAGAGGATGCGAAATATCCCGGATAGGCCCAGCAGGTTCCCCGGAAGCCGAGGGAACCCAGTCGTATGCGTCGTGCATTGCCGCAGTGTGATCTCACTGGCCGGTTCCGACAGCGACCAGCCCTCAGGCAACAAATCCGCAACGCGATCGTCGAGTTGCAACTCCCCATTCTCTATCGCTTGGGCCAATAAAATTCCCGTGAATGCCTTGGAAATCGAACCGATCTCAAACAGCGTATCCGCGTCGGGAGGCTGTGTACTTCCAATCCGCCGATTACCGAACCCCAGCAATACCTCCTCATCTTCAGCAACCGCCCCCACCACAAGCCCCACATGGCCCGACTGCTCAAACGCCCGCTCGATATGGGGCGTCACAACTTCCGCCAACCGGTCGCTTCCCACTTGCGGCTGCGAAAGTACCGCCGGCGTCACCCCTACTCGGAAGCCTGAAAAATGAATCATCGCAATTCCCAGACAGATCGAACCCAGGCCCGCGATCATTCGGGCCCCACGAGCATTGGGAAGCGAGGCCTCCCTTTCGACAGCCTTCACGAGGGCCACCCGCCGACTGGGGCGAAAACTCGTGAACAGTTCCCATGCACCGAGAACCACCCACAACAACCCAACCGCAGGTAAGATCCACGGTTCGCGGAAATCTGAAAACCAAATCGTGGCAGTGCCCAAGCAAAGCCAAAACAATCCGTAAACGCGTTTTATTCGCAGGCGAGTTCGCACCCTCGCCTTCACGCCCGCCTCGGCGCTCATCGTGCTTGAAGCTTCCATACCGCCCGAACGGAAGGCGGAAATCACAACCCAAGCACCCGTCGCCACGCACAACAGCCCGAAGAAAGGCACCAGAAACGGCAGTGCATCGCTCATGAAACGGCCCCTACCCGACCTGTAAATTCCCGCAAGCTACCGAGTCGGTAGTAGCGACCCGGCATCAAGTTCCGACGCCGACACATACATTCGCTCGACCTGCGCATCGATCAAACGTGCCGTGCGCACCGAGGTCGTCCCCAGCGTCATGCTATAGCCCATCACGGGGATCAGCAGATTGAACAATGCCCCCAGCCGGAAATCCTCGAACGCCTCATCGAACTCGTAGCCCCTCACACCCCGGGCTATCAACGTTTCGTGCCACGCGGTGAACACCTCGAGATGGTGCCCCTTGCGTTCGGCGGCCGGCTCACTGCCACCCAACAGCCGCGTCGGGTCGTTCGCGGCCATGCTGCGAGTGGCTAGCTGCCAGTCGAGAATCACCACCGCGTCGTCCGAGACCGGATCGCCAAACATCAAGTTGTCGGCTCTTAAATCGGCATGCACCAGCGACGAAGGACGTTCGGCCAATCGCTCGATCAGCCACTCGAGATGATGCAACACCCCTTCCCCCATCGCTAAGCCTTCTCGCCCTAATCGCACCTCAAACTCCCGGGCGAACCCCGGCCAATGCTCGGCGTAGTCTCGAAACCAAAACGGATCGTGGTCGGGCAACCACTCCAGCGCCGAGAGTCGCTCGTTCTCCCAGTACGCCGCATGAATACGACCTACCTGCTGCACGGTGGCAATCACTTCGTGATGCAGCATCCCCCGAACCTGATCACCGCACCGCAATCGCGTGAGATCCTCCATCACCAGCACACTGCCATCATCGCCAAAGTGCGAGTGATAAACCTGCGGCACCCGCACATCGACCTGTCCGGCAACATCGCGATAGAAGGCGGCCTCGCGTTCGAACGCGCGGAACTTTCGCTCCGCATCACGAAACGCCCCTTCCCCCGGCTCCAACTTCACCACCACCGCGGCCGGCACGCCGTTCGACGCATCATCGTACGTCAAATCCACCGCCGCGATTGTCGAGAGAAACCCCATGCTCTCGCCCAGCGGTCGCAAGGCAACATCCACAATCTGCTGCGAAGAAATCACCCCCGCCCCGCGCAACACATCCTCCAACCACGCCGCCGAAATCTCGCTGACATTCTGGGGAGTTGCAACGGGCATGGTTTCATCTCCATCCATTAACGAAATGCGTAAGACCATTCGCCCCAGATGATAGAGAGTTGCCCTCACTCTCAGCAAACATCAAAAGTCCCATGCCAGACCTGCACGTTTGCGCACATTGCAGGCGATATTCGCTACAACTTCTGCTGAACGGGTATACTGCACTGTCAATTTTACGAGTTAAACAAATCGCCGAACTCACCGCATCCATAATCCAATTAAGAGGCGGAAGTAGGTCTGATGCACAACAAACTCTCCCTGGGAATCATGCTGACCTTCTCTACCCTCTTCTTGCCCGCGAATCTGCACGCAGAAGAAGCAGCGCCCTTGCAACGTCTCCCACTAACAGCCGACGACATTGCGGCCACCACGGAACTCAACATCTATAAGTTTCGCGTCGCAATCGAGCCCAAGTCCACTTTCGAAATTGCAGTCTATGTCCAACAAACACCACAGGCCGAGCCTGAATACCTGGCTCGCCAGTCCTTCACTTCAGACACAGAGTCAGACACGGTCGACCTACTGATTTCCTTCATGCCTCGCGATGACACACAACGCGGCGTTCTCCTTTCGCAGGACGAAGCGGTCGACTACCGCGTTTCTTGCCCGGATTGCTCTCCCTCAGGAATCGCTACGATCATTCCCCTACCGTTAAAGGAACTTCCCGGGACTCACAAGACATACTTTCCGCTGACGACCAAGACCTCGCAGAAGCTGTCAACAAAGGACGAGACTTGCTTAATTGCCATCGTCGCATCCCGGCCAGGGAAGGCGGCATCACTGACCGAAGGATTCCCCCGTGGGATTGTCAGCGTGAAACTCACCGACCGATAAGAATCACCCCATCAACTCCGGCACGGGGTTCCCCGTCGGAACCAACCGGTGCGGTCTCCCCAACCGGTCGTGCATCTCCAAATCGTGGGGAATGCCGAGGAGGTGGTAGATGGTGGAGACGATGTGGCCGGGAGTGAGTGGTTTGTCCGCCGGGAAGGCGCCGATCTTGTCGCTGGCTCCGTAGATCAAGCCTTGGGGCACTCCACCGCCGGCCAGCATCAGGCTGTAGCAGAAGTTCCAATGGTCGCGACCCGCGTTTTGATTCACCTGCGGAGAGCGACCGAAGTCGCCCATCACGGCCACCAGCGTGCGGTCCAACATCCCCCGCTCGGCCAGGTCTTCCAGCAAGCTCGAACAGGCCGCGTCGAACTGAGGGAGTAGCGTGTTGCGAAGCTTCGCGAAGTTACCCCCATGCGTGTCCCACGTGGCGTTGGCGTCGGGCGCCCAAGAAACACAAACCAAACGCGTGCCGGCCTCAATCAATCGCCGCGCCAGCAGAACACTTTGCCCGTAGATGTTCCGCCCGTAAGACTCGCGAAGCGGTTCCTCTTCCTGCGAAATCTTGAATGCCTCTCGCGTGGCCGGAGCCATCAGCAATTCAATCGCCCGCTGCTGATGCGAACTCATCGCCTCCAACGATCGCTGCCCGTTGGCCGAGGCGAAATGCTCATCCAGCGAATTGAACAACTGTTGCCGCCGATCGAGTCGATCCAGCGTGACGCCCGCCCGCAACGAAAGCTCCGGCACGACAAACGCCGGATCGTTAGGGTCATTCAACACGAACAACGGATCGTAGGCCCCGCCGAGATACCCACCGAAGAACCCGGGCTGCGGCGGGCCGGCCGCGCCTTCTTTCGTGATGTACGGCAACGTCACGTGCGGCACCACCGGTCGCACCGGCGGACGCACTTGCGAAAGCACCGACCCCGGGGCCGGGTTATCCGTTGGCTTCGCCCCACCACCAATCTCACCTCGATCGTGCCCCGTCAGCGCCGCATACACCGCCGCCGCATGGGCATTGTTGATATTGTGATGCATCGAACGGACCACAGTGGCCCGATGCATCTGCGTAGCCAGCCGCGGAAGCTGATCGCTCACCTGGTAACCCGACACGCTGGTGGCGATCGGGCTGAACTCGCCACGAATGCCCTCGGGCGCATCCGGCTTCATATCCCACATGTCGAGATGACTGGGCCCGCCGTTGAGAAAGATAATGATGCACGCGTCGGCCCTGGGAGCCAGCCCCGTGCCCTCGGCCACCGCCTGGGCTTCAAACAACCCCGGCAATCCCAGCCCCATCATCCCCAGCCCACCCACTTGAATCATGTTCCGCCGAGTAAGGCGAACATTACCAAGTGAACCAGGACAGGCATTCGGAATCGCGGCTCGTCTGCGCATCGCGCGGCCTCGACAATAGGCGGGAAGTTATGGAAGGATTCGCGCCCATCATGATACCCGTCCCCGTAGGAAACTGCACGCACTTACGAAGATTCCGGGCGTACGCCTGATACCAACTCGATTTCCACGCGCGTGTCGTTGAAGCAGGCCCCTTTTCCCAGGTCGCTCAATGTATCGGGGGCCAACGCATTGGAAGTCTGACCATTTTCGCTCTGCCGGCACCAAAGCCCCTTTGGCATAACGGCAACTCCCTGGCGTATGTCGACGCTGACCCTAGCCCGACAATGCACCTCGCCCAGATCATTCCACACGCGAACGCGCGCACCATCTTCAATGCCACGCTTACCGGCATCGTCTCGATTCAACTCAACCATCGTGGGACGGTCGTCTAACTGTGTTAGGGTCGAATTGATCGAGCGCGATGTGGCGGGGGAAATGAGCGCCAGCGGGAACTTGGTGTCGCCCTGGTGGGGCAGATAGACATAGACTCCTCGCGCTGACTCCGCTTCGAGCGAAGCCGAGACAAGCTGGACTTTTGCCTCGGGGGTGGTGGGAAAAACATCGACAAACTGCACCGGGCAAGAGCCGCACGGCGGGGACGATGCGTGATGAAGCTCAAGGCTTTCCGCGATCGAATCCGACCCTGCGTGACTGCGAAGCACGGCTTGGCTCAAAGCGTCGACCGATGTCACATCGTTCGGATGAGCAAGGCCCAACCGCTGACATAGCTCGGCAAATACCTCGTAGTTCGGGCGAGACTCGCCACAACGATCGATCGCTGGCGATGCCGACTGTACAAGCAAGGCGCCGTAGCTGCGTCGTAATTCGTGATGTTCAAGAAACGTCGTTGCCGGTAACACCACGTCGGCGTAGCGAGCGGTGTCCGTGAGAATCGAATCGTACACGACCGTAAATAAATCTTCCCGCGAAAGCCCCTCCCGCACACGGTTCTGGTTCGGCACGGTGGCCACCGGGTTGGCGTTGTAAACAAACAGAACGTCGATTGCCGGATCGCGTTGGGTCATTAACGCTTCGCCAAGCAGGTTCATATTGACCACGCGAGTCGTGGGTTTCTTCTCGGCAATCACGTCTTCCAGGTTGAACGACCAGGCGGCCGAATTGCTGAGCGTAAAACCACCGCCCCGCACAGCAAACTTTCCGGCAACGGCAGGCAACGACAGCACAGCAGCCGTGGCCGAACCACCATTCCGATTCCGCTCGGGCCCCCAACCGCAACGAATCACTGCGGGGTTAATCTCGCTGTACCACTCTGCAAAGCAGGTGAGTAATTCTGGTGCGACACCCGCCTCCTCGGCCGCACGGTCTATCGACCACTCCGCCGCACGTCGCCGTAGTTCCTCACCGCCAGTCGTATGGTTGGCCAGAAATGCCTCATCGGCGGCGCCAGTCTCGAACAGGTGATTGATCAAACTGAGCGCGACCGGCAAGTCAGTTCCCGGCCGCAGCGGAATGTGCAAATCGGCTTGCCTTGCAAGTGGTGTCGCGCGAGGGTCGACCACAATCAACTTCGCCCCCTGTGCGCGAGCCTGTTTGATGTAAGGAACAAGATGGATTCCCGTCGCCGAAGGATTGCATCCCCACACCACGATGAGCCGGGCTGAGGCGTAATCCTGCATGGCCACGCCCGGCATTGCTCCATAAAGCCCTTTGTAAGCCGCGGACGAGGGCGCGGCACACACGGTACGGGCGAGCTGAGATGCGCCGAGTCTGCGGAAAAGTCGCTCGTCGATAATCCCGTGGGTAAGAAATCCATTCGATCCGCCATAGCAAAACGGCAAGATCGACTCTCCTCCGCTACGGTCTCGCGATGCCTGCAGCTTGTTGCATACCAGGGTTAGTGCTTCGTCCCACGAAACCCGTCGAAACCGCCCTTCTCCTTTGTTCCCTTCTCGCACGGCGGGATACTGCAACCGATCGGGGCCATACATATGGTCGGGAAAACGACGCACCTTGCCGCAGATAAAACCACCGGTGATGGGATTAGTCGTTGAGCCCGTAAGACTAACAAGGCGACCATCGCGTGTTTGAACTTCCAAGCTGCATGTATCCGGGCAGTCCAACGGGCAAACACTTCGGGTTACGCTGAGCGTGGACTGCTGCATCGGTGAAGTTTCCTTTCCTATTCGGGCTTACCGGAGAATCAAAGGCCACCCAATCAACGTAGCTACTGCCGTGCTCTTCAGAGCTCCCAGGAGTCGCAAAGGTTCGCGCGTAGACTGATGCGCACTGATTGTAGAGAAATTGGTAGAATCGTGTTGGCCTCTGGCGGGGAATCCACCGGGGGGCAATCGATACATCTCGACAGGTCCAAGCTTCTTTCAAACCCCCTCCGTTCATGATCATTCACGTCGACATGGATGCGTTTTACGCATCGGTTGAAGAACGCGAATCGCCCCAGCTAGTGGGTCGACCGGTGATCGTCGGCGGACGCCCGGAATCGCGGGGCGTGGTTTCGGCCGCCAACTACGAAGCTCGCAAGTTCGGAGTGCACAGCGCAATGCCCTCGACCACCGCCGTGCGTCTCTGCCCCCAGGCAGTGTTCCTCCCGGTGCAGATGGATCTTTACGCCGACGTCTCGCGACGGATCCGTGCGATCTTCGAACGCTACACCTCGCTGATCGAACCGCTCTCGCTCGACGAGGCGTTCCTCGACGTCACCAACAGCCAGAGATTATTTGGCACTACTGAGGAGATCGCCCGCAAAATCAAAGACGACATCCGCCGCGAAGAACGACTGGTGGCCTCCGTCGGCATGGCCCCCAACAAGCACGTCGCCAAGATTGCCAGCGACCTCGATAAGCCCGACGGGTTCGTCTTCGTCCCAGAAGACGGCGTGAACGCGTTCCTCGATCCGCTGCCGGTCGCGCGTGTCTGGGGAGTGGGCCGCGTCACGCAACAAGCCCTCGAGCGATTCGGCATTCGCACCATCGGCCAACTTCGAGCCATGCCGCAAGAAACCCTGCAGCGGCAATTCGGCACCGGCGGCGAACACCTGTGGCAACTCTCCCAGGGCATCGACAACCGGCGGGTATGCCCCGACCGCGAAGCGAAATCGATCTCCCACGAAACCACCTTCGCCCAAGACATCACCGACGCCGAAGTGCTCCGCGCCGTGCTCTGGCAACTGGCCGATCAGGTAGCCCGGCGACTGCGACGGCACAAACTGTTCGGCCACACCGTGCATCTCAAACTCCGCTACGACGACTTCAGCACGATCACCCGTTCGCAAAGCCTGAACGAAGCAACCAACATCACGGCCGAAGTCGCCACAGCAGCCGACGAGATGTTCACCACCCGCCTGCCAGGCCGCCGCCTCAGCGTCCGCCTTATCGGCGTCGGCGTCAGCAACCTCGCCACCGAATCCCTCCGCCAACAAACCCTTTTCCCCGAACACTCCCACAAAAAAGAAACCCAAATCGACACCGTCACCGACCAAATCCGCACCCGCTACGGTAGCGCCGCAGTCGATAGAGCGATCGGGCTACAAGCCGGAAAACACAAGCCCCGGCGGGGGTGAAGCGGGGCAAAGAATAATCCCATTGCTGATGAATTCGATCAATTCCGGCTACCGGCCTCGTGCAATCCGACAAGACGTTCAAGTGCGTCAGCTGAACGTCTGCTGTTGGCTTCGACCTCGATTGCTAGACGAATCGCTTCTGCAACAGCGAAGTAGAATAGAGCCAGAACAAACGCAGTTAGAATTAAAATTACAGCTGAGAATGCGCCTTGGACTGGATCACGCCACCTTAACACAACAATTGCAGCGGCCGATAAAACCAGGCAAGAGACAACGATCCAGCCAAGGATTCGATACCAAAACGCGATCAATTCCAAGGCACGAAAGGTAGGCCTCGGGGAGGACCGTTGGGGAACGGGCTGGGCCCAGGTGACTGGGGGGTCTTCGATCTCTGGCTGCCAAGGTATGGCCTCTACAGGTGGCGTGCGTGAGGCCACCTCTACGGCTCTGAATATGGCCGAATCATCCGGGACCGTAACTGGAGTCTTGCATGCCGGACACTTCGATTTCTTACCGGCCATAGAGTCTGGTGCGTTTAGTCGTCTCCCGCATGTGCAAACAACTTGAACCGTCATCGGCTACCCCTCTTTATTCTTGCTCATGTAAAAATACTTCGGCTACCTCCATAACAAGTGCCCTTCCCCTGCTCTCGACGATGCTATTCAGATATGCGAATGAGTTCCACTAGAATTACCAGAGCTTGCCTTGAAGCTTAACCCAGGTGTGCCACTGACTTCGCCAGTGCCTAAGATCGGTTTTACGGCAATCCGTTATAACTTCGTCAAACAGCACTCCCAGAACTCAACGAAGGAATCTCGGTAATTGAGGCCCAACTCCTTCCAATTGATAGAAGTGAACGATACTGTTTGATGCTCAGGTAAAGCCGTTACATCTTTGAAAGCCGCCAGCGTGAATAAATCGGAAGACCTAAACTCGATCGCCGCCGAACTTGACAGTCTCAACGCGGCAGGCCGCCAAGCGTTTCTCGCCCGAGATATCAATGCCTATCGTGCCTTATTCACCGAAGACCTTCGCTATGTGCAACCGAATGGCAAGGCCATTGGTCTCAATCAATTGATGAAAGACGTGCGTAAGCAGCTCTTACGATTCAAGACCGTCGATTCGCAGTTCACTCGAGAGTCGATTTCCATGAACGATGACGGCACTGTCACGCAAATTGGTAGCCAAGATGCAATGTTCAGTGTTACGGCCTTTATCATCATCACAAGAACATGGAAGATCGCACGACGAGGCAAATACACCTACCGAATGACCGACCAAGGCTGGCGCATCTGCGATATCGAAGTCTTATCTGAATCGGTCAGTTAGACGAGGAGTAATCAGGACTCGTACCTCCTGTCGTGAAACTATAGCGATCAATTTTTTCCCGCACTTCCAGTTGCCGCTCTGCAACGGTTAACTTCCCTGAATTGACCATCCGCCCCAATTCGGCTCTATTGCAGAGGCGTTCTTCTATCGCTTCGCACGCCAAACTACATACCCGGGGACAATCCGACCGCGATCTTTGGAGGTGACGAGATGAGCCATCCAAGTGTTGAACTGCCGATGGTCGATCTGGACGCGGAACCCGGGCCCGAGCTGCGGCGGGGGTTATTCGAGACGGGCTTCTTCTTGCTTCGCGACCACGTCATTCCACGTCAGTTGCTCGACGACATCCGCGACAAGACGTTGGCCTTCATGGCTCTGCCAGACGAACAGAAGAGTGCCTATCGCGGAACCCTCCGCGGTTGGGCCCCTTTCCGCAGCGAATCGGCCACGGCCGGTTATGGCGACGGCGAGGCGGGCGAAGGTGACGCCTGTCAGAAATACTCCATGGGCCCCATCGTCACGGCCGAAATAAGGGCCGCCAACCCTGCGTACTACAACGACCCGGATGCCGCGCTTTACCTCACCGACAACATCTTCCCGAACAACGAACTGCGAGAGGTGTGGGAAGAGTACTACCGGCGGATGGAACAGCTTTGCTCGCGACTGCTGGAAACAATCGTCGGCATCTTGGGCCTTCCCCCGGGTGCGTGGGACAATCAAACCTCGGCCCCGGTCAGCGTGATGCGGTTCCTCGATTACCCCGACCTCGCCGGCGGCATTCGTATGGGCGCCCATTACGACGACACGCTACTCACCGTGCTACATCAAAGCGTGCCCGAGAACAACTTCGCCGGTCTGCAGGTTATGCTGCCGGGCGAAGCCCAGTGGCGATCGATCCCTCCCCGCGACGATGTCTTCGTCGTGAACGTCGGCGAGACGCTCACTTATATGAGCGGTTCGCACATCAAAGCCACCAAGCATCGCGTCATCGCTCCACCGCCTGAGAAAGCCCAAGGCAGCGCCCGCTCTTCCATCGGCTATTTCTACCTCCCCAACTGGAACGCTCGCCTCTGGCCCGCCGACGTCGAAGGCATGGACGCCAACCTCGGCAAACACGCCAAGAACTTCAACTTCGACGAACTCCTCGAACCCGACGGTAGCGTACTCTTCTACAAATCACAACGCCGCGCAATTGAAAAGCTTGTGGGGAAGAAGGACGAATAGGAATCCACTTCGGCCTTAAGTCATCACAGTTATTACCTGTGAACCACGCTGATTGCTCGTCAGTGACGGCTCGGTCGCATCAACAGATGCAGGATCGCACGTTTAGCAGGCTGTTGAGGTGGTCTCCCCTTCGACATTTGACCTTTGCTCCCAACGGCTTACGTCTTTCACACCAAGGCAGGTCAGGGCCAGGCTGCGGACTGGTTGTGGTTGGTTGAGCAAGGTCTGCCAGGAAGATCCTGCCTCAAACCGACAAAATGGGGCAAATGGAACATTTTGCGAGATTTTAGGGGGTTGTAAAAGGAACTCGCGGGGTTTACTCTGCCCATTGCTATTAAGAATGAGTCTCAATATCTGGTAGATTTCCGTTTCTTCATTGATCTAGTAGGTGCGCTGATACCAATGATTCACTACAAATTGATCCCCGCTCTTATCGTTGCGACCTCGATGTCGCTCTTCAGCTCATCCGCATCTGCGGTCAGCAATTTCACCGAAACCTTTGCTACCGACGACAGCGACTGGCTCGATGGAGCTTCTGGAACCCCCGACTACTTTCCCGAGTACATTTCCTACGCTCCTGCCCCCTTCAATTCAGGTGCCGGTGGGTTTGGAGATCCTCTACAGATCCTGTTCCGTGGTAACGCCGGCAACAACGCTAGTGGTGGAGCCTTTGTTGGTGACTGGCTGGCCGATCAAGTTACGTCGCTGAGCGTCGACGTGCGGCATAACTACACCACCGACCTGAATCTTTACGCTCGATTCAATCGCGGATTCGGGCAAGCTGCCAGCCTGGCCAACATCACCGACTTCGCGATTGCTCCCAACACCTGGACTACAATCGAGATCCCCATCACCGACAGCAACCCTCCCTTCGTCTCGTATGGAGCCGGAAACTTCAACTCCGTATTCACAGGCATTCAAGATATCCAAGTCGGGCTCTACCTACCCGCCAACACCGACTTCGATACCCTGCGATTCGATCTGGATAATGTACAACTGACCGTGGTTCCCGAGCCCAGCACGCTAGTCATGTTCGGCCTGGGTCTCAGTGCGTTAGGCCTGTGGCGTCGCCGCAACAGAAAGTAACGTTGGCCATGACGGACCGGTAGGTTTGCACCTTTAAGTTGACCACCCAAGGGGCACGTGTACCACACACGTGCCCCTTTTGCATGCGCCCGTTGAAGGGTTGGGTTTGAACCACGAATCGGCGTCGACTGAAGGCGATGTTTCTTTCCAGATGCAATGCCGACGGCAACACCAGCATGTGAAGAACGTTGCGCCGGCCAACCTCCTCTCACCTCAGCAGGGAATTCTACCGTCTCTGCATGCCCATCCCATCCCTCGGAATTGTCGAGGCACGACATGCTGACTCTACAGCCACCATTCCGTGGCAAGGCAGCCACGGCCGGCTAGAGAGAAGCCTGCCGCGTAATTCGCTATGGCGATATCCCCCCTTCCCAACCACAGGCTCTACTTGGTGGACGTGGGCGAAACACACACCTACGTGGGCAGCCCACAAATCAAATCCACCGAACACCGCGTCATCGCCCGAGAAGTCCTACAGAGACGGCCGGCGTCGAAGGCATGCACGCCAAGAACTTCAAATTCGACGAACTTCTCGAACCCGACGGCAGCGTACTCTTGTACAATCGCAACGCCACGCGATCGAAAAGCTTGTGGGCAAGAAGGACGAATAGAAATCAGTTCAGGCTCGGTTCTTCACACACATTCAATAGAGTGCCAATCTATGATCACTCGCCGTGAAGCCCTTCGATTGATTGGGAGCGCCTGCCCGCTTGCCCTGGGCTGCAGAGCAGAACCGCCTCCGAATCAGTCGCAGCCCAATGCAAATCAGATCACGCCAAATTCGATACAGGCCGATCCCGCGAAGAGGAGCGAGATGACTTTCAAAACGATCGAAGTAACCGGCAAAGACGCGTTGGACAAACTGCATGAGTACCGCGAAAAGTACCAGCCTGGCGGGGAATACCCGGTCATTATTGGCGATGAACGCGACTTGGATATGATTCAGGAAATATTCGAAGCCCATTCAGAAGAGCCATCTGCAATCATCAAAGCATCCTACGACGTCAACCTCGACGGATGGATTGCGAATCGAAAGCGTGTGATGGAAGAAGATGAACTTGATATGGCCGAACTGCTCGGCCAATGGCCAGGCGAATCTCCTAATAAGGGCGCGATCCTGTTACACACAGATATCGTCACAGGCGAACTGAAGCCAAGCGTCGTGATCGGCCTGCCGAAGCTTGAAGAACCGTGGCACCTTCCCGCAGCAATAAAATACGGCGGATGGAATGAGTGCCCAGAACCAAAAGTGCAGTGCGCTTTTCACCGCCAGTGGATGAAAGAATTCGGCGCACAGATCACCGGGGCCTCGGGCGATGTGATCGAATGCACGGTTGCGAATCCCCCGACAGAACAAGAATCTGCCGTGGAACTCGCATGGCAACAATATTGGTATTGTGCAGACATCGTCGATCAAGGACCCAAACCATCAACAACCTCGCAGCATCTCTTCTCAATTCCCACTACTGGTACTTCTGGTGGGACTGAGTGTGGGCGGCCATCGCATGGCGACCGTAGTGCAAAAACTAGAAGGAAGTGCCTTGCAGGAGTTGCAGATTTCTTTTGCTATTCTCACCTGAGAGAGAATCCCAGGCGAGCCAGTACAACAAACGCTCGTACTGTCCTTGGGGAGAGCCCTGCTCAGGACAACAGGCAGAGAACTTGTTCTCAGAGCCCTCGATGTTACAGAACGACTCGACCATCGTACCATCAACACATATCGGGCCACCATCAGGCATCCGCTCTGGCCGCAATTCATGTATACATCGCCAGAACTCCTCACTGCGAACGGCGTCGATCGTCGCTTCTTCTGTAAACCGTTGCGGGACACGCCCGTCACTCGTTAGTTGAATCGCGAGCCAAACACTGTTCGCGAAAGAAGACATCCTGAGTTTCGTTGACCTGCTCTTGATTACCTGCAAAAGCACCTCGGGGTGGAACGCCGGAAAAACCACCATCTCCACAATCATTGTGTCTGGGTCATTCGACGACCTTTGCTGTACCGCACTGCTTCTCAGAAGCTGATGAACGAGATTGTGATACAAGAAACTATGGAAGTCTCGCATGGAAGCAGCCTGTTACCTTGCGTCTCGTCCTACCCTGTTATAGCGAGCCTCCCGCAGGCAGGAACAAATTTGCCGGCCTATTCACCCGCCGCTGAACGACAATCCTTCACTCCCACGCGCTGGGCAGGAATTACACAAGCTGTCGTGTCACGCATCCTGCTTCGATCTTCTCCAAACCCCGACGGGCACCAACACCACCGCCGCAATTGCACCGGCCACCAAGCCGACAACGACTTAGGGCACGTAAAGTCTCAGCGCGGCGTTTCCCCCTGACAGAACCGCAGCAGCCACCCCCCCACCAATAGCCCCGATTGCTAGGCAAGTGCATGAGGACTGTAGGGCAACACTCGCTAGAATCTTCCACCGTTCCGAATCCATGGGCAGCCAACCATAGTTTATTGACTAAAACCCCACCCCGTAATCCTGCAGTAAGATATTCACTTTCCAAAACCCCTCGAAGGTCGTCGGCATCAGTTGTACCTGACTAATCTTCCCAGTCACGGTGAGCTTCTTACCGACAGGGATGGCTTGCATCTCTTTCGCGAACGCGGCGTCGCCGTCGAGGATTAGTGGATGAGGAAATTTCTCGCCGATGTATTGAGCGAAGAGTTTACCTTCGTAACCAAGCTCCAATGGCCGGAAGTAAATCGCCGCCCGCCAGGCATCGCTGGGATTCTTACTGTTACGATTGCGACCCACTTTGATTTTCGAAACAAGCATCACGCTTTCGAAGGGAACTCCGGTCAATTCGGTCTCCAACCACTTGTAAACCTTGGGCAGTCTTACCTTGTCCCATGCCTTTCCCGGCTGCAAATCGGCGGGCATGTCGCGAAAAATGGTCACAATCGAATGCTGGACTTGCCCTGGCTGAACCCCTTTGTCTGCCCGAGCATCCTCGCTCTCTCCCAGGGCATCTTTCAGACGTTTGTTCTCCGCCTTCAGTAGCGTGATCTCTCGCTGCAGCTCCGCGATTCGCTTGCGAGCCTCCGGACTGAACTGCTCTTCATCGGCCTGCACATCACCCGTGAACAAGGCTACCAACAAACACAAACATCCAAGAACTCGCATCACAATCTGCCCCTTCCTCGCACCAAGTCAAAACAGGAATCGAGCGATCTCGACAAGAATGAATGCGGCCTGGCGAATCACCGCCGGAATAAATGCAAACGCACATCCAATCAATAAGATCGCCACCCACAGAAACTCAAACACGGGGTAGCCAAGTCGACTGGAGAAACGTTTCACAACACTGTCTCGCCGGTTTGACGACCTGCCCCAACAGCCGCTGCCCCAATCATAACCCCTCACCGCACCGGACGCAGCCTTAGCCCCTTGGGCACAATCAATCGTTCTGCCAATTCGAACACGCCTTGCACCACCAGGGCCAGGATCGAAGCCGGCACCGCACCCTGCCACACAACCATCTGCATGTCGAGCCGGCTAAGCCCCGTCATGATCGGCTGACCGAAACCCCCGGCGGCAATCAACCCGCCGAGTGCCGCGGTGCCAACATTAATCACGGCCGACGTTTTGATCCCCGCCATGATCGAACGCGAAGCCATCGGCAGTTCCACCCGAAACAGTCGGGCACTCGCTGGCAAGCCCAAAGCGTAAGCCGAGTCGCGAATCTGCGACGGGATATCATGCAGGCCCGCGTGAGTGTTCCGCACAATGGGCAGCAGGCTGTAAAGAAACAAAGCCATCATCGCCGGCCTCACCCCCACGCCCAACAACGGCACCATGAAGGCCAACAACGCCAGCGAAGGAATCGTTTGCACCACACCCACCACCGCCAGAATCACTTGGCCCACTCGTCGCTTGCCCGCGGCAATCACACCCAGCGGCAACGCCACAATAATCGCCGCTGTGAGCGATACAGTTACTAGCCGCAGATGCTCAAGCGTGTTTCTCAGCAACCGTTGTTGCCAGGTTTCCAAGTTGGTCTCGATGTTAATACCCAGATCATCGGCAAGGTACGCGGAGGCCACTTCTGGCGCTTGCTGTTTCCCATACTTCACCTGGGCGTTGAGCGCCATCATCTCCTGCTCGTCAATCACCCCCTCAAGCCGCGACAACGCCTGCTCAACTTCCGGATGCCGATCCACCAAATCACTTCGGTAAAGCACCACTGCTTCGTAAGCAGGAAAATGCTGCAGGTCGTCTCTCAACACCCGCAGATTGAAGTGCTCGATTTCCGCGTCGGTGGTATAAATATCGATCACATCGCAAGCCCCGTTCACCAGCGCCACATAAGCCAAGTCGTGATTCATCCCCCGCACATCTCTTTGCGGCAGATGATAATTCTCTTGCAGCGAAGGCCAGCAATCTTCTCGCGCCATAAAGGGGTCGCTGAAACGAAATTTCAGTTCCGGGTGATCGGCCAGATCCGAAATACTTTCGATCCCCAACCGCTGGGCTGTCTCTTCCTGCATCCCCAGACCGTAGTTATTCCGAAAGCCCAAGGGGGCCGTAATCTTCAGCCCACGTTTGGCCAGCTCGTCGCGAAGTTCATCCAGAGTCTGCAAGTTCTCCTCGGCCAGCAGCTCGCGCATCAGCGTGCCGGTGTATTCGGCGTACAAATCGATCTCGCCGTTGTTCGCAGCCTGCCAGGACAACTGAGCCTGCATCGACTGACGATCGTGCTCGGCCTCGATCCCCGCATCCAACAGCACGCCTTCGGCCAGTTCGCCCAGCACGATCGACTCGATGAAGCTCTTCGAGCCAATGCTCACTTCCGATCCATCTCGCGAGTACCAACTCACCACCGCGATTGCGGCCATCAGCACAACGATCGCTATCAACCCGATTGCCATGCGATTCATGACGACACCTCGTCGCCGTTTTTCAAATGGCTTCGCTGGGCGTTGATGAACTGCGTCACGAATTCGTCGGCCGGTTGGTTCCACAACTCGTCGAGTGTGCCTTCCTGCACGATCGATCCTTGCCGCAATAACACGATGCGGTCGGCAAAATAAGCCGCCTCGGCCATGTCGTGGGTCACCAACACCACGGTCGAAGACAGCTCGCCGAAGATCCGCTTCAAGTCGGTCTGCAGTTCATAGCGAATCATCGGGTCCAGCGCCCCGAGTGGCTCGTCCAGCAGAAGCACCTCGGGGTCGAGCATCAGCGCCCGCATAAGGCTCACCCGTTGCCGCTCGCCTCCAGAAAGTTCGGCCGGGTATCGCTTCAGCCCTGCCGTCGGAAAACGAGTCAGTTCGGCCAACTCTTCAATCTTGCTTTCAATCCGCTCCCGGGGCCACTTCAACTGCCGGGCCAGCAAGGCCACGTTGCTGAAGGCCGTGAGATGCGGAAACAGCCCCCCTTCTTGAATCACGTAGCCCATTCGCTGCCGCACCGAGAGCAGGTTTTCGTCGCAGAGCGTCTCGCCATCGAACTTCACCTCGCCGCCGTCGGGCTCAACCAAACCGACCATCATGCGGACAATGGTCGACTTCCCGCAGCCGCTAGGACCAATCAACGTAGTTATGGTCGAATTAGGAAACGTCAGTGAGGTCGGCTGCAAGGCAACCATCGATCCGTACGATTTGGAAACGCCTAACAGCTCGAGCATGGGTCCTCACGGAAAGAAACACGGGGCCGAACGTGCATCGTAAAGGGTTCGCCCGGGAATGGCCAACGGCACACCGTGTGTACTATCTTCTTCCCTGCCTACTGCCGTTTGGTTAGAAGCTGGTATGGTAGGGCATAACACAGCGTGCCACTTTGGCTTCGACCCACAATTCTACCCCCACCGCAATGTCCACCACTGCCGAGAATCCCGCTGAACGTGTAGCCGATCCGTCAATCGAGCGGATCAAGATCAACCTCGGTTGGCTGCTCACGCTACGCTGGGCCGCAGCCTGCGGACAAGTCATCACCATCATCGTGGCCGCCGTTTGGTACGAGGCCAACCTTCCCATCGTTGAGTTGATGTCGATCATCGGCGTCGAGTTCATCTCCAACGCCATGTTCGCGATTTGGTTCCATCGCGAAGTTCGCCAAGACACCTGGAAGAAGAACCACGCGTGGGGAGAACGCCTGCTCGGCGGCGTGATGATACTCGACATCCTCTTACTCAGTGGGCTGCTCTACCTTACCGGCGGCGCCGAAAACCCCTTCAGCCTCTTCTACCTCATCAATCTCTCACTCGGCGCGGTGGTGCTTCGCCCCTATTGGGCACTGCTGCTGGCCACCGTATCGGCCCTCTGCTTCACCGTGGTCGTGGTCTACAGCGAACCACTTCCCGTGCTGAACGAAACTAGGGAGATCCCTTTCGCAATTGGTTCCACTGGCGCAAAGCTGAACGTGCAGTTGCAAGGTCTCTGGGTCAGCTTGGTCGGGGCCTCGATGTTCATCGTCTACTTCATCACCCGTGTGACCACGGCCCTGGGGCGACGCGAAGTCGAGCTAAGCCTGGCGGAAAAACGAAGGGCACAAACCCAAAAGGTCGAAGCCCTCGCCACCTTGGCTGCCGGGGCCGCTCACGAGTTGGCCTCTCCGCTCTCCACCATCGCCGTCGTCGCCCGGGAGTTGGAAGTCGAACTCGAACGAGACCACGCCGCCGAATCGGCCGTGCAAGATGCTCAACTCATCCGCCGCGAGGTGGCCCGCTGCCGTGGCATTCTCGACCTGATGGCCACCGACGCTGGCGAAAGCATTGGCGAAGAAATCGTCCAACTCACGGTCGAACAACTCATCGACGAGATGCTCGATGGTCTTTCCGACTCCCGCAGGGTCGAGATCGATTTCGTCGGCGCATCAGGCAACTCGCGATTGACCGTCCCGCGACATGCCCTAGTTCAATCGTTGCGAGGTCTGGTACGCAATGCGCTCGACGCCTCGCCTGCCGATGGTCACGTCGAGCTGCGCACCACCGACGACAACGAACGCGTTCAGATCGAAATCCGCGACCGAGGGACCGGTATGCCGGCCGAAGTACTCGACCGGGCGGGAGAACCGTTCTTCACCACGAAAGAGCCGGGGCAAGGCATGGGGCTGGGACTGTTCCTCACTCGCAAGGTCATCGAACGCCTCGACGGCACCCTTCAACTCATCTCGCACCCAGGCAAAGGAACCACCGCCGTGGTGACGTTACCCCTGGCGAACGGCAACTAAGACAACACCTCAACACGCCTGACAATTCACAGGCCTGCCCTGCCTTGCTGGCCAGCCTCGGGACGAAGCGATATTCTGAACCACAGTTGGCGCCTGATTTTTGAACTGCATCCCCACAAGCAGAGGTGAACTATGGCAGCTCAATCAGTCGAATCGGTCGACACCACGAAAGTCTCCGGTCGTCGAAAAGTTCATTACAACGATCACAACGAGTTGCTGGCCGACGTCGAGCGACTGCAGGCAGGCGGCTATCGCTACCTGGGCAACTGGCCACTCGGGCAGGTCTGCCAACACCTTTCCAACGCCTTGAAATCCGGAATCGATGGCGCCCCCACCCAACCCGCCTGGCCCCTTCGCGCCATCGCCCGCTTCATGTTCAAAGACAAAGCGGTCCAAGGCCCCGTAAAGCCTGGGTTCAAGCTCCCCAAATCCGGACAATTCCTAGCCCCCGACCCCTGCGAAGATGAACAAGGCGTCGCCGCCCTGCGAGTGACCGTCGAGCGTTGGTACCGCGAGCCCGAGCGAAAACCTCACGCCTTCTTCGGAAAGCTCACTCCCGAAGAATGGGAGAAACTCATGCTGAACCACGCTGAGATGCACATGAGCTTCATCGTGCCCAAGGAAGAAAACGAGCCCACACAGTAAAGCCCAAAACCGAGAGAGAGCGATCGCGACACGATGGGCATCTACACCGACTACGTCTTCCCCCACCTGCTCGACTTTGTGATGAGTCGGGGGAACATGATGAAGCAGCGAAAGATCACGCTGGCCGAAGCCTCCGGCGATGTGCTGGAAATCGGCTTCGGCACTGGACTTAACCTGAGCTTCTATCCTGAATCCGTCGACCAGCTGACTATCCTAGATCCCGCGAAGCTGCTGCCGAAAAAGGTTGAAAAGCGGATCCAGGACGCCCCAATGCCGATCGAAAAGACGTTCCTCGACGCCGAGCATCTTCCTTTCGACGCCAGGCGTTTCGATTATGTCGTCTCCACCTGGACCCTGTGCACCATTCCCGATGTCGCCACTGCGCTGTCCGAAGTACGTCGTGTGCTCAAACCCGGGGGAAAGCTCCTGTTCGTCGAACATGGACGCAGCGACGACGAACGTGTGGCGCAAAGCCAAGACCGGTGGAACGGCGTACAACAAGTGGTCGCCGTCGGTTGCAATCTAAACCGCCCCATCGATCGCCTCATCGACAACGCCGGCTTTGAAATCCACAACCTCGAACGGTTTCTGATGCCAAAAACCCCGCGAATTATGGCCGAACTCTACCAAGGTTCGGCCATCGCCCCCTGAGCCAAAAATCCGGCTTACACGGTCGATTTCTCAGAAACGTTGACCTGCTCAACGCTCACTGAACCCCTCACACGAATCACCATCCATCCGCTTTGCATTCATCCCTGGGGCTGCGACAATATATATTAGTATGGAGAAGGGCTATTCCGCCCACTGACCCGTTTGGTGCCTCGACCCCCTGGGAGAAGGCTTTAATGGCCGAATTCACGCCCGATTCGCCCCAAGATGGTGCCCCCAACGATCAGCCCGCGTCTGGAGATGGCCAATCGCTGTTGGTGGTCGACGACAACGAGACGCTCCGCGAAAGGGTCGCCAGGGCGTTCACCAACCGGGGATTTCGTGTCAGCACGGCGTCCAATTACGATGAGGCCATCGCAATCGCCCGCGAACAGGCCCCCGATCTGGCGGTCGTCGACCTCCGAATGCCCGGCCCATCAGGGCTCGAATTGCTGCGAGACCTGAAGAAACTCAACGCCGAGATGAAGGTCGTCATGCTCACCGGTTTCGGCAGCATCGCCACGGCCGTAGAAGCCATGCGGTACGGGGCCCACAACTACGTCTCGAAGCCGGCCGACACCGACGACATAATTAGGGCGTTCCAAAAAGGCGAAGCGAACCCCTCCACGCCCGAGCCGACCGATTATCACGCCCCCTCGCTGGCCCGAGCCGAGTGGGAGCACATTCACCGCGTGCTCGACGATTGTGGGGGCAATATCTCCGAAGCTGCCCGCCGGTTGGGTATCCACCGCCGTTCGCTCCAGCGAAAGCTCCATAAGCTGGCTCCCGAGTAGCGTCTGCGCATTCCCGCCACACTTGGCGTTCCTCACTTCAGCCATTCCCTCCAAAGTGCCCACATCCTGAGGGGGATCGTCAGGACAAATCTTTAGGGGCTTGCATTGATAGCCCTGGCGCGCAAAATCTGGGCGCGCGTGTTGCTAAGCTCGCATGACAGAAAAGAATGCGACGATTTGCCGCATCCCGCGAAATTAGGTTTAGCAGTAAGATACCACTGGATTTAGGAAGAGTTTCTAGGGGCTCTTTCTAGGTTCACCTTCAGGCGTTCGGGCGACCCTTGGGCGGTGCGAATTCGCTCATTCCAGCGTGCACTCGGTTCTGAGTTACGTGTTCTCCCGGGCATTGTCGATCAGCAACGGTTCATCGCCGGATCTGATTTACTAACTCCACCTTATTCGATGAGCGAACGGTGAGCGAAAAAGAGCGACTTCAATTTCCTGAGTGGGTCGACAAGCTCCGTCCGTTGATCTTGGGCGGCCTCCTCATTGGTCCCATCTACTTAATCGGAATGGTGACCTTCGGTGCATCTCCTAAGACAACCGACGTCGGTTATGCCCCGGAACAACCCGTTCCTTACAGCCACGAATTACACGTTGGACAACTCGGCTTGGACTGCCGTTACTGTCACACCTCGGTCGAAAACGCCGCGTTCGCAGCGGTTCCGCCCACGCAAACCTGCATGAATTGCCACGCGGTTATCAAGACCGATAGCCCGGCGCTTGAACCGGTTCGTGAAAGTTTTGCAACCGGCATGCCTGTGAAGTGGGTCAAGGTTCACGACCTGCCCGACTATGCTTACTTCAATCACAGTGCTCACGTCACCCGTGGTGTGAGCTGCGTTTCGTGTCACGGTCGCGTAGACCAGATGGAAACCGTTACTCAAGTCGAGCCGCTCAGCATGGGCTGGTGTCTCGAGTGTCACCGCAATCCCGCTCCTAACCTTCGCCCGGCCGACAAAGTGACCGACTTGGCATGGCAGCCAAGCAAAGACCCCAGCGTGATCGGTGCTGAAATCATGAAGAAGAACAACATTCATCCCTCGACGGACTGCTCCACATGTCATCGCTAGCGGAAAAAGCCCGCAACAAACCATACTGGCGCAGCCTTTCGGAGCTGGAGAACACGCCAGAATTCGAGGAATTCCTGCACCGGGAGTTCCCGAAGGCTGCCTCCGAATTTCCCGAAGGCGTCTCCCGCCGACGCTGGCTGCAAATCATGGGCGCTTCTTTCGCCTTGGCTGGAGTCACCGGGTGTCGCTGGGAAGAACAAGAAATTCTCCCGCTCACCGCACGTCCCATGGGCCGTGTGCCTGGTGTGCCCGTGCATTACGCCACGGCGATGGAGCTTGCCGGCGTCGCCTCTGGGTTGCTGGTCACTTGCTACGAAGGTCGCCCGACCAAGATCGAAGGCAACCCCGAGCATCCGCAGAACAAAGGCGCTTCCGACACGTACTCTCAAGCGAGCACGCTGGAGTTGTACGACCCCGATCGTAGCTCCGAAGTCATTGCTCGCATCGGCGACGAAGCCGACGCAGACAACACCAACTCCTGGGGCGGGTTCGAATCGGCCCTCGATGCCAAACTCGGCGATTACTCGGCCAATTCCGGCTCCGGCTTACGCATCCTGGCTGAAACCTCCTCGTCGCCCACGCTAGCCAAAATGCGTTCGCGTTTTGCCGAGACCTATCCTGAAGCGAAGTGGGTCACCTACGAGCCACTGTCGAACGATAACGAGATCGCCGCCACGCGTTTGGCCTTCGGCGAAGCGATGCGTCCGCAGTACGACATCTCGGCTGCCTCGACCATCCTCTGCCTCGATTCCGATCTGCTGTGTAACGATGCCACCGGGGTTCGCCTCGCACGCGAGTACGGTGCCCGTCGCGATCCCGATGCTGAGAGCATGGTTCGCATGTACGCCGTCGAGAGCACTTTCTCGACAACCGGCGCCATGGCCGACCACCGCTTGCCGATTCGCTCGCAGCAAGTTCTGGCCTTCGCCATGGCGCTCGAAGCCGCCGTCGCCGCGAAGTCCGATGCCGAAGCACCCGGCAAACTCTCGAAGGTCCCCAGTGGCGGATTCCTCGAAGAAGAGTACACCGCGAAGTTCCTCGACGCTCTGGCTGAAGATCTCGCCGAGCACCGCGGACAAGGCATCGTGACCGTTGGCCCCCGACAGCCGAAGGAAGTGCACCTCATTGCCTACCGTCTCAACCAAATGTTGGGCAACGCCGGCAAGACGGTTCGCTACACCGCCTTGCCCGAGCAACTCGCCGACTCGCAGACCGAGTCGTTCAGCGAACTCTGCAAGGAGATGCAAGACGGCAATGTCGATTCGCTCATCATCTTGGGCGGGAACCCCGTCTACGACGCCCCCTCGAATCTCAAGTTCGGCGAAGCGTTGGAAAACGTCGAGTTCACCGCGCACTTGAGCCTCTACGACAACGAAACATCGCACGCCTGCCAGTGGCACCTGCCGCGAGCCCATTACCTCGAGTCGTGGGGCGACGCATTGGCCAGCGATGGTACCTACAGCATCATTCAGCCCCTGCTGCGGCCGCTGTACGATGGCAAAACGCCCATCGAAATGGTCGCCATGCTGCTGGGCAACATCACCACACCGGCTCAAGACCTGGTGAAAGAGACCTTCTCCGAAACTGCGGGCGACGGTTGGGAAAACAAGTGGCGCCAGGCCCTGCACGATGGTCTGCTCAAAGACTCGCAGTGGCAACCCGCCGCTCCCGAGCTACGAGCCGAACACCTCGAAGCGCTCGGTGCCGCCGATGCCTCAGCCAGCCTGGCTGCCGAACCGCCAGAGAACGGCGAGTTGGAAATCGTCTTCTGCCGCGATGCTTCGGTCTACGACGGGCGCTTCGCCAACAGCAGCTGGTTGCAAGAACTCCCCGACTTCATGACTAAAGTCACCTGGGACAACGTCGCACTCATCAGCGAAGCAACCGCCAAGGCGTTGAAGGTGGCTAACGAGTCGCTCGTACACCTCACCTACAACGATGTCGAGCTGACCATGCCGGCCTACGTCATGCCTGGTCATGCCGATGGCTCGATCACCGTCAATCTCGGCTACGGACGCGAAGCGGCCGGCTTCGTCGGCGGCAGTGTCGAGCAGGATGTTCCCTCCGTCGGTGCAAATGTCTACAAGATGCGTCGCAGCGGCGCGATGGGCTTCGACTCAGGCTTGCGAATCGCCCCCACCGGGAAGGCTTATCCGCTGGCCACCACCCAAGACCATCACATCATGGATGAGGTCGGTCTGCAGGGCATGGAGCAACGCGTTGGCCTCATCGTCCGCGAAGCCACGCTCGACGAGTACAAGCATCATCCCGACTTCGCTCAGCACATGGTGCACCATCCTCCGTTGGAATCGCTGTGGGAAGAGCCCACACGCGAAACGGAATACAAATGGGGCATGTCCATCGATCTGGGCAAGTGCACCGGCTGCAGTGCCTGCGTGGTTGCTTGCCAGTCGGAAAACAACATCCCCGTCGTGGGTGCCGATCAGGTGCATCGCGGCCGAGAAATGCACTGGCTGCGAATCGATCGCTACTTCCAAGGTTCGATCAGCAACCCGTCCATTTTGCATCAACCCATGACCTGCCAGCAGTGCGAGAATGCTCCCTGCGAACAGGTTTGCCCGGTGGGTGCCACCATGCACTCGGCCGAAGGCCTCAACGACATGGTTTACAACCGCTGCGTGGGCACTCGCTACTGTGCGAACAACTGCCCCTACAAGGTGCGGCGGTTCAACTACTTCAACTTCCAAAAGGGCGAATACGGCAAGTACCAAGACTCGCGCGACCCCAAACGTATTGTGCTGCAAATGGCACAAAACCCCGAGGTCACGATTCGCTCGCGTGGTGTGATGGAAAAATGCACGTTCTGCGTGCAACGTATCCAAGCCGCCAAGATCAGCTCGAAGAACGAGAAACGCCGCATCACCGATGGCGAAGTCAAGACGGCTTGCCAACAGGCATGTGCCTCGCAAGCCATCGTGTTCGGCGACCTGGCAGATCCGAAGAGTGAAGTCAGCAAGCTCCACCAAAGCCCTCGTGCTTATGCCCTGTTGGGCGAATTGAACGTCAAGCCGCGGAACCTGTTCTTGGCCCGCGTGCGAAATCCAAACCCGAAGCTTGAACCGGAAAGTGCGGATGAGCACAGTAGTCACTAAGACCGATCAAAACGCGGTTGACGACCCGACGCATCGCCCAGTACTAGTCACCGGCGGACACAATATGTCCGACGTGACTGAAATGGTGTCGCGTGTGGTGGAACTTCCGCCGCCCTCGCTGGCCTGGAAGATCGCCATCACGATCTCGGCCTTGCTCGCGCTTCAGCTTGGGGCCCTCGTCGGCTACCTGGTGTGGACCGGCGTTGGTGTCTGGGGTAACCGCTCGCCCGAAATGTGGGGCTGGCCGATTGTGAACTTCGTGTTCTGGATCGGTATCGGTCACGCCGGCACACTGATTTCCGCCGTGCTGTTCCTGTTCCGTCAAAAGTGGCGAACCAGTATCAACCGTGCCGCCGAGGCCATGACCCTCTTCGCCGTGGTTTGTGCCGGTATGTATCCCGGCATTCACATCGGTCGCGTGTGGGTCGCCTACTGGATGTTCCCGATCCCCAACCAGATGTCGATGTGGCCTCAATTCCGCAGCCCGTTGCTCTGGGACATGGTGGCTATCTCCACGTACGGAACCGTTTCTGTTCTGTTCTGGTACATGGGCCTCATCCCCGACTTGGCCACCTTGCGAGATCGGGCGACAACCAAAATTCGCTTCTACGCCTACGGCTTGCTCTCCCTCGGCTGGACCGGTTCGAGCCGTCACTGGCATCGTTACGAGAAGGCCTACCTGTTGCTGGCCGCCTTGGCCACCCCGCTGGTGCTTAGCGTGCACTCGATCGTTAGTTTCGACTTTGCCGTCTCCCAGGTCGCCGGTTGGCACACCACCATTTTCCCACCGTACTTCGTCGCGGGGGCCATTTTTGGTGGGTTCGCCATGGTGCTGTTCCTCATGATCCCGGCTCGCGAGTTCTTTGGTCTCAAAGACCTCGTCACGCTGCGGCACATCGAAAACATGAACAAGATCCTGCTGGCCACGGGAACCATCGTGGGCTACGCCTACGGCATGGAGTTCTTCATCGCCTGGTACAGCGGAAGCATCTACGAGCGATTCGCCTTCGTGAACCGTGCCTTTGGCCCCTACGCCTGGGCCTACGCATCCATGATCTTCTGCAATGTCATTTCGCCGCAGGTGTTCTGGATCAAGTCCATGCGAACCAACATTTGGGTGAGCTGGGTTGTAGCCATCTTGGTCACCATCGGTATGTGGTTCGAGCGATTCGTGATCATCGTCACCTCGCTGGCTCGCGACTACCTGCCTTCAAGCTGGGGTTACTACCGGCCGACTTGGGTCGACATCATGATGTTCGCCGGCACGTTCGGCTTGTTCCTCACGCTGTTCCTGCTGTTCTGCCGGTTCCTGCCGATGATCGCCATCGCCGAAGTGAAAGGCGTAATGGAAGACGCGGACGAATTTGGTGACGACGACTTCAATCGCCCCGAACCTTTCAGCCCCGTCGGCTCCAGCCCGGCACAAGCTTAAATCCAACACCGCATTCAATCACTAAACGTCTGACGTCGGAAACCTGCGATGTCCCATACGACTGCAACACCTCCTAAGACCGACTACCCCGAACGAACTGTCGGGCTGCTTGCCGAGTACTCCACCGAGCGAGAACTCCTGGCCGCGGCCGAACAGATTCGTGATGCGGGCTTCACGAAATGGGACACCCACTCCCCTTTCCCCATTCACGGCATCGAAGACGCAATGGGCGTAAAGCCCACCATCCTCCCCTGGATCGTCCTGGCCTGCGGTATCTTCGGCGGTGCCTCCGGACTGCTGATGCAATGGTGGATGAACACGATCGACTATCCGTTCTTCGTCAGCGGTAAGCCGCTGTTCAGCATCCCCGCGAACATCCCGATCACGTTCGAGGCCACGATTCTCCTCAGTGCCTTCGGAACGTTCTTCGGCATGCTGGCCCTGAACCACCTGCCACAACTGTGGAACCCCCTGTTTCGCAGCGAGATGTTTCGTCGTGTGACCGACAATCAGTTCTTCGTCACACTCGACGCACGCGACCCCAAATTCAACGAGGGGCAATCCACCCAACTGCTCGAGACCACCGGTGCGAAAGCGATTGAGCCGGTCAAAAAGATCGATCGCCCGGTTCGCCTCCCGCCGATGCTGCACTACGTCGGCCTGGTCATGACACTGCTGTTGATCATCCCGCCGGCGATCGTCGTCGCCGCTCGGGCCGCGACCAAGACCGAGCCACGCATTCACATCATTCCCAACATGGACTGGCAGCCCAAGATCGAACCGCAACAGGCATTCCCGCTGTTTGTTGACGGTCGTGGTACCCGCCTTCCCATTCCCGGCACCATCGCCCGCGGGGAATTGGACAACGATTCGCACTTCTACCAAGGTGTGGTCGACGAAGAGTGGGCCAGCACCTTCCCCGGTCAAATCGAGATCAATGCCGAGACCATGGAGCGCGGCAAGCAGCGATTCAACATCTACTGCGCCGTGTGTCACGGTGAAACGGGCAACGGACAGGGCATGGTTCACTTGCGAGCCATCGAACGTCAAGAAGCGAACTGGCGTCCGCCAACCGCCTTGTACGACGGCCCGGTGCGAGAACAGCCGGTCGGCCAACTGTTTAATTCCATCACCAATGGCGTGCGGAACATGCCCGCCTATGGATCGCAGATCCCGCCGGAAGATCGCTGGGCCATCCTGCTCTACGTGCGGGCACTGCAACGTAGCCAGAATGCCAACATGGACGATGTGCCCGAGGACGAACGGGCGGCACTGCAATAAGGCAGGAACCTGCCCGGAAACAATCGCGGCAGACTATCCAAGCTGACTGAGAAAGCGTCGCAATCGAGATACCATGCACAAGACACACATTATCAATATCGAAGACGAAAACCGGGTCCTGGGCAACTTGGGGCCGCGCCTGCTGCACGGTGGCGCCATCGTCGGCTGTGTAGGGCTCGTCTTGGCCTTGCTCTTAAGCATGGCCACGGAAGACAACGGAGTTGCATACTTCTTCCATTCCTACCTGTTGAACTTCACTTACTTCCTCAGCATCTCGCTGGGGGCCCTATTCTTCATCGCCACGCAACATGTTACGGCCGCCGGCTGGAGTGTGACCATTCGTCGCATCGCCGAGTTCATGGCCCTGTTGCTACCCTGGATGTTGGTCTTGTTCTTGCCCGTGCTGCTTTCGGTGCTGTTCGGCAGCTCAGACCTCTTCCATTGGAATAACCGAGAATTGATGAACCCTGAGAGCGAAGAATTCAACGCCCTCTTGGCAAAGAAGGAACCGTACCTCAATTCGTCCTTCTTCGGAGTTCGGGCCGTCCTCTACTTCGCCATCTGGTTCTTGCTCGTGCGTTATCTGGTGAGCAAGTCGCTGGAGCAAGACACCACGGGAAACCCCGAGTTGACCAACAAAATGCAAAGCTTCGGTGCCCCCGCCTTGGTCCTCTTCGCGTTGACGCTCAGCTTCGCCGCCTTCGACTGGCTGATGTCGCTCGATGCCGAGTGGTTCAGCACGATCTTCGGCGTCTACTACTTCGCCGGCTGTGCCCTGGGCTTCTTTGCCACGGCCACCCTCATCGCTATGTGGCTGCAAACAACGGGCCGGCTCACCCACGCCATCACCATCGAGCACTACCACGACATGGGCAAGTTTTTGTTCGGGTTTGTCGTGTTCTGGGCTTACATCGCATTCAGCCAGTACATGCTCATCTGGTACGCCAACATTCCGGAAGAAACACACTGGTATCTCATCCGCCAACAAAACGGCTGGGAATACGTTTCGCTGTTCCTGTTATTCGGCCACTTTGTCATCCCGTTCTTCTACCTGATGTCGCGCCACATCAAACGTAATAAAGTCACACTGGCCATCGGCGCGATCTACGTTCTGATCGTTCACTGGATCGATTTGTACTGGCTCGTAATGCCCAGCCTGATTGAATCGCCCTTCCAGTTCGGCGGGCTGCTCATCGACTTGGCCTGCCTGATCGGAATCGGTGGGCTCTGTGTGGCCGGGTTTGCATACGTCGCTGGAGATCGATCGCTGGTCTGCGAACGAGATCCCCGCTTGGCCGAATGTCTCGCATTCAGAAACTCATAGGTTGGGCTATGTCCGCTTACGACGACAATCATAAAGACGAGCCGTTCCCCTCGATGGGGATCATGCAGCCCGACGAAACGCCGGTATGGCCGCTGTCGCGCATCATGTTCGCAGGCGTCATCGTCACAATCATCCTCCAGGTTTGGTTGGTCGCGTTGTACTACCAGTACAACAGCCACGAGACCGCCAAGAAGGACATCCCCGCCAAAGACATGATGGGTGCCACAAAGACCCTCGGCTTGGTGCTCACCGAAGCCCGTCAAGAACTCACCGCACCGCCGCGAGTTATTGACGCCCAAACCGGTCGCATCTCTATCCCCATCGCGATGGCCGAGCAAAAGGTCCTGGCCGAACTGCAAGCCAACCCTGAAGCCAAAGTAACCGGTCCCGCCCCCCCTGCCCCGGCCGAAGGCGACACCGCTGCCCCAGCAGAAGGCGATAAAGCCGAAGAGGGCGAGAAGCCCGCTGAGGAAATGAAGGCTGAGGAGAAGCCAGAGGCTGACAAAAAGCCTGAAGAACCTGCGGACGAGTCGAAAGAAGAAAGCCCCAAAGAAGAGGGCGAGAAACCGGCCGAGGAGATGAAGGCCGAAGACAAGAAAGAAGCAGACAAGAAAGAAACCGAAGAGAAGACCACGGAAGAAAAGCCCGGCGATAAGGAAGACGCCGATAAGAAACCGGCCGACGAATCCTCCTCAACCGAGGAACCCAAGGAAGAGTCTGCCAGCCCAGAGGAAGAGGGCGACGAGTCAACTTCTGAAGAAGACACGTCAACCGAACCCGAGGCTCCCTCAGATGAATAGTTCCCAACCCCTCAGTGCGGCACTCGCAATCGCCCACCGCTGCCGAATCATCTTCGGCTTGGCGTTGGTGGCGATTTGCGCGACGCTCGCACCCCAGGCATCGTTGGCTCAGTTGGCCAACAATGTCCCGCCCGAGATCGATTCGGTCGGCATCGACGAGCATCGCGGCGACACACTGCCGCTCGATTTGCAGTTCGTCGATCATCGCGGTCAGACTGTTCGCCTGGGCGACCTGTTCGACGGCAAGCGACCGGTGCTTTTGTCGCTCAACTACTCCGATTGCCCCATGCTCTGTAACTTGCAGCTCAATGGGCTCATCAACTCACTGAAGCAGATCGAAGGCACGCTCGGCGAAAAGTTCCGCGTTGTGACTGCCAGCATTAATCCCAACGAAACGCCCGAACGAGCTGCTGGTGCCCAGCAGAACTACCTTCAGAACTACGGTCGTGAGGCCACCGACGATGCCTGGACGTTGCTCACCGGCAAAGAGGCCGCCATCAAGCAGTTGGCCGACTCCGTAGGCTTCCGCTACGAATTCGTCCCCGCACGGGGTGAGTACGCTCATACTGCGGCACTGATGATTTGCACGCCCGATGGGGTCATCTCACGATACCTCTACGGCATCGAGTACGATCCCTCGACGCTTCGCCTGTCAACCATCGAAGCGGCCGACGGAAAGATCGGCAGTGCCGTCGACCAGTTGATTCTGTACTGCTTTCACTACGACGCAACCAAAGGGCGCTACGCACCCGCGGCGTTCAACCTCATGCGGGTCGGTGCCTTGTTCACGCTTGTGGTGATCGGCATCGGGTTTGTCATCCTCCGTCAGCGAGAACCGGGTGCCGATGAAGACGGCGGACAAGCCGTCACCGACGAACATCCAGCAGATCTACCTCCGGCGGAAGATCAACTCAGCGACGAGGCGATTTCAGCATTCAGTCACGCTACGCCCCCAGGGCGAGAGCTATAGGCTTTCGAGAAGGTGAATCGAGGCAATGATATCCCACGCGGCTAATCTTGTTACGGCGAGTACCGTCTCCCCGTTGATCGCACAGGTCGATTCCATTTGGCAACTCTTCCCTGCGCAAAGCTCCACCACGGCTCCTGATGTCGATTGGGTTTTCTGGTTCATCACCTGGATCTCGATCATATTCTGGGCCGCCATCGTTATCGCCATGGCGTGGTTCGTTTTTCGCTACCACCGCCGTCGCAACGACGGGCCGCAACATTCGCCGCACCACAGCACCGCCCTGGAACTCACCTGGAGCGTTCTGCCCAGTTTCCTGCTGGTGCTCATGTTCTATTGGGGTTTCACCGGCTTCGAGAACATGAAGACGCCCCCGTCGAACACCTACGTGATCAATGTGACGGGACAAAAGTGGAATTGGAACTTCCAATACCCTAACGGTCATATCGATTCCGACCTCTACGTACCCGTCAACACCCCGGTCGAGTTGATGATGACGTCGACCGATGTCATCCACTCATTGTTCATCCCGGCATTTCGGGTGAAGCAAGACGTGGTTCCCGGTCGCTACGCCACCACCTGGTTCGAAGCCACTGCAACCGGCGAATACAACCTGTTCTGTGCCGAATACTGCGGTACCGAGCACTCCGACATGCTGGCCAAGGTCCATGTCTACCCCGAGGAAGAGTTCCCCGCCATTTTGGCTGAGATCTCCGACATTGTCGGCAAATACACAAAGGCAAACGAACCACTTTGGAAAGCCGGTGCCGAGCTTTATGTGAAGCGTGGCTGTGCGTCTTGTCACACCGTGGATGGTACCCAAAAACAGGGCCCCACGTTCCTGAAAAGCTTCGGCACCATGCGAGATTTCACCGACGGATCGAAGGGTGAGATGGATCCGAACTACATCCGTGAGTCGATTCTGGAGCCGCAGGCGAAGATTCGAACTGGTTATCAGCCGGTCATGCCCACGTTCCAGGGATTGCTGAAGGATGAAGAAATTGGGGCAATCATCGATTTCCTCCGTCATCTCCAGGACCCCACTCCTGAGGAACAACAGGAAATCTTTGCCTTCCTCGAAGACCCCCGTCCTCGAGAAGCGGAAGAAGAATAGCAGTCAATTTCGTACAATCGAAACCAACGCCCGCTTAGGCGAGCACCCCTGCTAAAGAATTAGAGATCATCATGGCGACTGATATTGCCCCCCAAAAATCCGGTATCGAGCCACATCCGCCGGCCGACAACTACCTCACGCATTCCAGCGGAATCTCCTCATGGATATTCTCGCTCGATCACAAACGCATCGGTCTGATGTACCTGATCGGCGTGACCATGGCGATGATGATGGGTGGTGTGTTCGCGCTCATCTTGCGGATCGAACTGTTCACCCCAGGCAAGACAATCATCTCGGCCGACGCCTACAACCAGATGTTCACCCTGCATGGGGCCATCATGGTGTTCTTGTTCATCATCCCCGGCATTCCAGCGGCCTTGGGGAACTTCATCTTACCGATTCAGCTGGGAGCGAAAGACGTCGCCTTTCCCCGGCTTAACCTATTGAGTTTCCACCTTTGGGTGATGGGCTTCTGCATGTTCATCATCACCCTGTTCCTGGGCGGTCTTGATACCGGGTGGACGTTCTACGCTCCATACAGCGTAACCACGAATACTTCGGTTATTTCCGCCCTCACCGGGGCGTTCATCCTCGGCTTCAGCTCAATCTTCACAGGGCTCAACTTCATCGTCACCACCCACGTGCTGCGGCCCAAGGGGATGACCTGGTTCAAGCTCCCCCTGTTCATCTGGGCGTTGTACGCCACGGCGGTCATCCAGATTCTGGCCACCCCCGTGTTGGCCATCACGCTGCTGTTGCTCATGGTCGAGAAGGCCACCGGCATCGGCGTGTTCGACCCCGCCCTGGGCGGCGACCCCGTGATGTTCCAGCACTTCTTCTGGTTCTACTCGCACCCGGCCGTTTACATCATGGTGCTGCCGGCCATGGGTGTGATTAGCGAACTAATCGCCACCTACACCCGCAAGCGGATTTTCGGCTACTCGTTCATCGCCCTCAGCAGTGTCGGTATCGCCATCATCGGCTTCCTTGTCTGGGGCCACCATATGTTCACCAGCGGCCAGTCGAAGCTGGTCGGCATGGTCTTCAGCGGCATCACCTTCACGGTTGCCATCCCTTCGGCCATCAAGGTGTTTAACTGGGTCGCCACGCTCTACAAGGGCTCGATCCGGCTCACGGCTTCGATGCTCTACGCCTTGGCGTTCCTGTTCTTGTTCACCATCGGGGGCCTCACGGGCCTGTACCTGGCCACGCTCTCGGTCGACGTGTATTTCCACGACACCTACTTCGTCGTAGCCCACTTCCACTACGTGATGGTCGGTAGCTCGCTCACCGCGATGATCGGCGGTCTGTTCCACTGGTGGCCGAAGATGGTCGGCAAGATGTACAACGAAACCGTCGGCCAAATCTCGGCCATCCTGGTGTTCTGCGGATTCAACCTCACGTTCTTCCCGCAGTTCATCCTCGGCTGCCAAGGTATGCCGCGGCGCTACTACAACTACCTGCCCGAATACGAAACCTGGCACCAGGTGTCGACCATCGGGGCCATGACCCTGGGCCTTGGTATCCTCATGGCTTCCGGCTGCCTGATGCACGCCCTCTTGCGAGGTCGCCCGGCCGTGGCCAACCCCTGGGGTGGTACCACGCTCGAGTGGATGTGCAGCTCGCCGCCGCCACACGATAACTTCAAAACCCCTCCCCCGATCCACGACCCATACGACGAATCCGTCGTGGTCTACGACGAAGCGATCGGGGGCTATGTTCCTACAGATACGACTCCACAGACCGTATCGCACACTCAGTCCGAGCCCGGTTCGGAGGGTAACTAACACACATGGCAAGTACTGTTGAAACGTCGCCGGCCGAAGGTCACGAAGGGCACGACGACCATCACCCACCGCATCTGGCGCACCACTTTGCCAGCCCCGAGCAGCAAATCTACTCGGGCAAGATGGGCATGTGGCTGTTCCTCGTGCAGGAAGTGCTGTTCTTCAGCGGACTGTTCTGCGCCTACGCCGTATTCCGGGCAAACCATCCGGAAATCTTCATCTACGCCCATCACTACCTCGACACCAAGTTGGGGGCCATCAATACCTGCGTGCTGCTGTTCAGCTCGCTCACCATGGCGTGGGCCGTGCGTGCCGCCCAAAAAGATCAGAGAGCCCTGCTGGTGATCATGCTTACCCTCACCATCATCTGTGGCTTCACCTTCATGGGCATTAAGTACGTCGAGTACTCCCACAAATGGCACGACGGCCTGTTGTGGGGGAACTATTACAACCCAGCCTATGCCCCCGGCGAAGACCACGGTGCCGGCCACGAAGAATGGCATAGCGAAGAGGGCCACGGTTCTGCCGAACACGGTGCAGCTGAACACGCCACTGACGAGCACGCCACCGAGGGCGAACATGCCGAAGGAGAACACGCAGAGGGTGAGGGTGACCATGCCGAGGGCGCCGCACCCGCTGCCGAGGGAGACGCCGAAGCCGCACCAACCGAAGGCGAAGAAGCCCCCGCGGCCGAGGAAGACGCCAATCAGCCCATCACCCCCGCCAACGCGAAGGGAACCCAACTGCCGCCGCCGGGCGAAGCCACGCAGCAATCCATCCTAGCCGCCGGTCCCCTGGGCATCAGCGACGTACCCTCGCCGAAGAACGTCCAGATCTTCTTCGGTATTTACTTCGTCATGACCGGCCTGCACGGGTTGCACGTCGTCATCGGCATTGCCGTCCTCTTCTGGCTCCTGCGACGAGCTATCCGAGGGGATTTCAGCCGCGAATACAACGCCCCGGTCGACCTCGTCGGCCTCTATTGGCACTTGGTCGACCTTGTGTGGATTTACCTCTTCCCACTTTTGTACCTCATTCACTAAGCGGGCGAACGGTAACTCCTTCAAGTCGTCAACTTACAAACAAACAACCTAAAAACATATCACGTGACCACCGAAGCGAATTCGGTCACGCTTACCAGCAAGGGTAGAAGAGCATGGCAACCAGCGATGTCGCTCACTCGGGTAGTGCAAACCACGACGCTCACGAGCACGAAGATCACGCAGCCCCGCTGTGGATCCTGATCTCCGTCTGGGCTGCCTTGATGGTGCTCACCGGACTAACGGTGGCCAGTGCCCAGTTGCCTCTAGGTCGGCTCGACCTGGTCATCGCCATGTTCATCGCCACGGTGAAGGCTACCCTGGTCTGTCTGTTCTTTATGCACCTCTACTGGGATCGCCCCATCATGGGCATGATGTTCCTCGGGTGCCTGGGCTTTGTATTCCTGTTTATCTCGTTCGTAATCATCGATTCGAACCAGTACATGCCCGCCGTCGAAGCCCGCCAGCTCGACGACCCGGTCATCCTGCAACTCCAGGTAGACCAGACAAACGCGCCAGAGTAACTGCGCGCGACGATGGTCTGAGTATTCCCACGATCGATGGGACAAATAGAGCCCAAACCCAACTGCGCAATTTACCCTCGGGCGAAGTCTCCTCTGCGACGCTAGCCGAACGGCACGCGCGCAGCCCAAGTGTAAAGCTCCTCAGGCAAGGCGTTTTGCCGAGAATTTAGCCACGCAGGCCGACGTCCTTAAACCTTCTGGCCGGCGTGCTTCGCCTGGAATTCCAGCATGTGGTCTCGCAGTGCCTGTACGCCTTCAATCGGCATGGCGTTATAGATCGAGGCCCGAATTCCCCCCACCGAGCGGTGCCCCTTCAACTGGACCAAATCCCGCTTGGCGGCTTCATCCATGAACTGCTTCTCCAGCTCCTCGGTAGGCAGCCGGAACGTCACGTTCATCAGCGAACGGTACTCCGGCACGGCATGTCCGCGGAAGAACCCGTCGCTCTGATCGAGCACCTCGTACAGCAGGCTGGCCTTCTCCTGGTTCAGCTTGTGCATCGCCTCCAGGCCGCCAATGTCTTGCTTCAGCCACTTGGCGATCAGCCCCACCATGTAAATGGCAAAACAGGGCGGTGTATTGAAGGCCGATTCCTTCTCGGCATGCACCTTGTAGCTCAACATGCCCGGCAACGACTCGGGCGATCGCTCCAGCAAATCGTCGCGGATGATAACCACCGTCACCCCGGCAGGGCCGGCATTCTTTTGGGCACACGCGTAAATTAGCCCATACTTCTCCACAGGAATCGGTCTAGAGAGAATGTCACTCGATGTATCGCACACCAAGGGGACATCGCCCACCGGCGGCTCTTCCTGAAACTGCACCCCCTGGATGGTCTCATTCGAGGTGTAATGCACGAACGACGCCTTGGGGTTCAACTTCAGATCACCCGCACCTGGCAACCGGTCGTAATCGGTCGATTTGCCGTCCCAGGCGATATTGATGGCGCCTTCACGTTGGGCATCCTTTAGGGCATTGGCCCCCCAAGACCCGGTGATAATGTAGTCGGCCGAGTTGCCTTCCCCCCCCAGCAGGTTCATCGGCACTATTGAAAACTGCAGCCGAGAACCGCCGTGCAGGAACAGCACGCGGTAGTTGTCCGGAATCGCCAGTAGCTCTCGCAGGCCGGCTTCGGTTTGTTCCATGATCGCGATGAAGGCCTTCGAGCGGTGGCTCATCTCCATGACCGACATGCCCTCGCCAGGCATCGCCACAAGATCTCGCTGGGCCTCTTCCAGCACGCTCACCGGCATCGCAGCAGGACCGGCCGAAAAATTAAACACCCGCTTAGCCATTTTCCTCACCCTCAGTCAGATCGATCATGGAACCGGCGCCCCCACTTCGGGCACCAAACACTGCAAGAATTGCAGAGTCGTTTTGTAGCACGATGCCGTGACCGCTCCAAGCGGCTGTTTTTCAGCGAAAGATAGATATTCCGGTGAGAAACGCCCTGCGTAGAGCTCCATGCGTCACTAAACACCAATCACCCACTCTGTAGGGAACGCCCTCCGTGGCGTTCCGGGAATTGCAGCTACGCTCGGAACGCCACGGAGGGCGTTCCCTACAGAGGGACTTTTGAAGTCCCGAGGAATTGTCGCGACGCCACAGATTGAGTCCCCCCGCAGCACGCGTGGTGAAGGAATCCCGCCCCCGCCAAAACCACCCCCTCCAGGTGGACTCCCCCATCCGGCGTTGACTTTCCGACCGCAATCCGTTTTTTTACCCCCATGCCTGCCATTTACGACCACCAGCACACCGTCCTGCCGGCCGAAATCGACATCTTGGGTCACGCCAACAACCTGGCATACCTCAAGTGGATGATCGACGCCGCACTCGCCCACTCGGCTGTTCAGGGCTGGCCCAACGATCGCTACATCGCCCAAGGCTCAGGCTGGATCGTACGGGCCCATCAAATCAAGTATCTAAGGTCTGCCCTCGAAGGCGACGATCTGATCGTCCGCACCTGGGTCGCCAGTTGGCGCAGTGCAACCTGCACCCGGCGTTACCACATCCTCAAGGCCGCCGACTCGCAACTGCTAGCAACCGCATCGACCGATTGGGCCTTCGTCGATTTCGATCGCCAACGCCCCGTCCGCATCCCACCCGATGTGGTCGAGGCCTTCGAAGTCGTCGGCGACGAACTGCCCTCTTGAGTCTTTGAGTTGACCCAAAAGAATCGCACTCAACTGTGCATCCGCGGTGGGTCGGTGCTGGTGGCCAGAATCTCCGCCTCGGCCGTGGCTAACTCTTCCAGCCGGCTGCGTACCTCGTCCGACGGAGCGAACGTGGTGGCCAGCTTCACATAGGTGCTGTGGTGTCGAGCTTCCGACTCGAACAGCGAGCCGAAGAATTCGGCCAGATCGCGATCTTCCAGATTGTCGCGAAGCATGCCAAACCGTTCACAAGATCGTGCTTCAATCAGGGCCGCCACCAGCAACCGGTCCACAGCCCTGGCCGGTTCCTGCTTCCGTACCAGGTCATTCAGCTTCCGCCCATAACTGCTGGGCTGTAACCGGCGAAACTTCGTCCCCCGCTCACCCAACCGGTCGAGCACCATGTGAAAGTGCTCCAGTTCCTCGTTGACGATCTCCGTCATCGCCCGCACCAGGTCCACCCGATCGACATAGGCGAAGATCAGGTTCATTGCCGTTCCGGCCGCCTTCTTCTCGCAATGGGCATGGTCGATCAAGAGCTCGTCCAACGAGCCCTCGACCGACTCGAACCAAGACGGCGGCGTCGACGACTTCAAATTGAGCATGAGCCACTTCCTGTTACTCTAGCTGCGTCCTTCAAGACTACCGGTCGGCTACTGCCCTGCCCCGACAGCCACCCCGGCTTCTTTACCCAACAGCTGGGCTTCCAACCAGTCGGTGGCGATGGCCACCTCTTCGTGAATGGTGGGCCACGGATGTCCCCCGCCCGGCTTCACGATCAACTCCACCGACACGCCCGCATCTTCCAACGCGTCGCGGAACACTTCCGATTGCTGCAACGGCACGATGAAATCGGAGTCGCCATGAATCAACAGAAACGGCGGGGCATCGCTGGTCACAAGCTGGCGGGGCGAAATCGACTTCACCGTTTCCACGATTTCCTCAGCCGTCATCTCATCCAACTTGTCGCCCAACACCCGGCGCCCCGAGTTCCGCACCCACCGGCTTCCAGGCGAAAGATCCTGCGGCTTGCCACCCCAGTTGGCGAAGTCGGTCGGCGGGAAGAAGGCCACCACGGCCGCCACTTCAGTGCTTTGCTGCTTGAGCGGATCTTCCAAATCGGGGTTGCCCTTCTTGGCCGTCACTCCGGTCAACGAAGCCAAATGCCCACCGGCCGAAGCACCACACAATCCCAGTCGATCGGGGTCGATTCCATAGTCGGCGTGATGGGCCTTAATCCAGCGGATGGCCTCTTCCACGTGCAGGTGCATTTCACTCAGCGTGAACTTCGGCAGCGAGCCCGGCCGCACGGCGAACACGGTGAAGCCACGCTCGCACATGATGTCGAAAATCTGCGCCCGTTTGTGATCGCGGATCTTCCCCCGGTCCGAATGCCAAGCCCCGCTGGCGATATCGACGATGCCGATGCCGTTGTTCGCGCCCTTGGGGACAAACACATCCATCACCAGCCCCACGCCTTCGGTCTCACCATAAACCACGTTCATGGTCTGCACGTAAGGCTCATCGCCCTCGTCAGCACCCTCTTCGGCTACAGCGCTGCCAATCATCGTCGACAGCACGGTAAGTAACAAAACGAAACAGAAGGCGAATCGCCGTTCAATCACGCTAGACATCGGTTAATTCCTCCAAGCAATGCTTGATTTTGTAGATAAGAACCCGCAGGCACGCGATCGTGTCGGGTCATGAATTATTCGTTCGAATCCGACGGTTGCGTCAGCCACCCAACCATCCGCTTGGTCACCACGTCGGCGGCGTCTTGTTGCACGAAGTGGCCGGCATTGGGAATGGTGATCAGGGTGAGTTCGTTATCCACCCACTTCCAAGTATCGTTCAACGCCCCCGGCAACAGGGCCGTATCATTCAGGCCGTGGAACATCAACACAGGGCAAGTCACGTTCGGCAACTCTTCGCCCATCTCGGTGTAAGGCTCGCGGGGATAGTTCGCCTTGTAGTAGTTCAACATCCCTTCCATGCTCGAACGCTTGAACGCTTCGACATACTTCTTGCGTGCATCCTTATCCTTCACCCAGAAGGCCAACATGGCCGGCATCATGCTCTTGGCGGCCTCCGGCTTTTGGAAATTACGCGCATACTCACTGGCCTTCTGCTGCGCAGGGTTGTTCGCCAACTCACGCGAGAGACCACGCGGATGAGGCAGGTTCAAGATCACCAGCTTCTCGGTCATCTCGGGGTGCTGCATGGCGAACGACCAGGCGACCATTCCACCCCAGTCGTGCCCCACGATAATCGCCTGATCGCGATCGAAATGCCTCACCACCGCAGCGACATCCTCGACCAGCTTATCGATGGTGTAGTTCTCCACACCTTCCGGCTGATCGCTCTTGTTGAACCCACGCTGATCGATGGCCACCACCTGGAAGTGCTCGGCCAGGGCGGGCATTTGCTCACGCCACGAATACCAGTAATCGGGGAAGCCATGAATCAACACCACCAAGGGGCCTTCGCCGGCCGTGACGTAGTGGATCTTCACATCACCCGACTCCGCATACCCATGCGTTCCGAGTGAATCGTCTTCGGCCAAAGCGACACGCCCGCTCGACACCACGACGGCGGTAGCAAGCAACACCAAGCACAACACAACTTGTTTCATCGATCACTGCTCCAAAGTTCAGGACCACGAGTTTGCATGCCAAGAAAGCCACCTTCGCGCGAGGCACACAACCATGGAGACACAAAGAACGCTCGTGGTGCCACCAGACGGCAGCGGAGAGCCATAAGAAACGATAACAGCCAGCAGGCCATATTAGTGGGGGGGGTTCAGAAGAACGTTCGGAAATACTCGATGCAACTGCCCGAGCAACACATAGGCCCCCACGACCAAAAGCAGCCTAATCACCGGGGGGGCCAGAGTCAATTAAGTAGCCCCCTCTGCACGCCTCGCAGGTGCCAGAATCCTGTCGAAAATCCCCACAGCCGCCAGAGGCCCAGAAATGCCGCTGGCGCCCGGAAAAACTTGACGCCCCATCACGCTCTCAGTAGTCTGGCGCAAGTGGCGTGTCGAGACGTCGTGGGGGCGACTCTCCCGTGGATTTTCCTATTTTGCCTTGTCCCGTTAAGTCGGGGTCAAGACAACAAGTATCACGGTCGAGGTGTATTCTGGAATGTCCGGCCTTGTCGCTCGCCGATCGTACACCTTGTAAGTGAACCAATAGCAGGCCCCCTTCTATGATGTTGCTGTTCTTGCTTGGCATGCTAGCGGTCGTGGCTGTCGTCGCATCGCTCGCTCTTACGAATCACGCGCTCGTTCGCCTTCGAGTGATTCCGCTCGCACTACTGGCACTCGCGGGTCTCCTCTGGTGCTCGAACGTTTCCTTGCAGGCAGACGAAGCCGACACACCGGCCTCCAATGACGAAGTTCGTCCCCGCTTCGAACGCCCCGAGGGTTGGCCTGAAGAGTTCCCGCTGCCCACAGAAAACACCAACTGCGTTCGTTGCCATCTCCACGCCGGACGCGAACTCACCGGCGCGGTCCGAGACATTTGTCGCAGCGTGCACGACCTGGCCGGGCTGTCTTGTGCCGACTGCCATGGTGGCAACACCGAAGACGATGTGACCGCCCACAACGAAGAGTTCGGCTTCATCGGCACCAAGCTCTCCTCGCATCTCGAAACCTGCGCCGACTGCCACGGCGAAGAAGCCGAGCTGTTGGACCAAGGCGCCCACGCCTGGGACTGGCAAGAGCGGATCAACCTGAACTACCCCATGTGCGTCGATTGCCACGGCAATCACGACATCGGCAACCCCCCAGAAAGCTTCGCCCTGGCCGACGTTTGCTGGGATTGCCACGACGCGTTCGACGAGGACTACCCTGCCTACAACGAGCTGGTCGAACAGAACGACAAGTTTTGGAAAACCCTCAGCAAAGTGCGGCAGTACAACCTGATGAACCCAGAGCCGGTGCCCGAGCAGTTCACTGAGGAAATCGACGAACTCCGCGGCACTAGCATGCAGATGTTCCACGCCATGAACGACGTGGACGAAGCTTCGGTGGAAGAGCACAACCAAAAGCTCGAAGCCCTGCGGAAACGGCTGGCCGCTTGGCTAGCAGAACAGAATTAAGCCCCGATGGGCGACTACAAATTTGTTGGAAACCCCGGTTTTTCGATATATTAAAGGTGGCTCGTAGCTGCCAATCTAGCTCAACATTTCACGGTCATTCCGACCCTCTCGGTACCCGGCATAAAGGTGATTCATGAAAACGTGCAAACACCACCACGGCTCAAACGTAGACCGTCGACACTTCATGCGAACCGCAGGTACGGTCTCGGTCGGTGCCGGCGTGCTGGGTGTCGCTCCCACCTGGAGCAAAGCCGCTGATGACGCCTCCGGGAAGGAAAAGGTCGACGTCGGTCTCGCCCGTGGTTCCAGCATGCAAGATGCCGTGTACAAGGCCGTTGAACTGGCCGGCGGAATGGCCTTCATCAAGCCCGACCAAACGGTGCTCATCAAACCCAACTGCACCGGCGGGGCCAAGAACCCCACGACCACCAGCCCCGAAGTGCTGTACGCCGTGATCAAGCTGGTGAACGATCAAGGCCCCAAGCGAATCATCGTTTCCGATCGCTGCTTCTCGCCGGTCTTCAAAGAAGACTTCCCCGTCACCACCGAAGTGATGGCAAAAGCCGGCCACATGGACGCCATCAATCAGGCCATCTCCGATTTCAAAGCCCCCGTCGTGGCCGCCGGCTTCGAACGGCCCGGCGAGATCTTCGAAGAACTCGGCGTTCCGGCCGACACCCCGCACTGGCGAAAAATCAAACTCGCCGAGGCCGAAAACTGGCCCAACGGGTTCGAACTGGCCGAACTGCTCTTCCAGGTCGATCACGTCATCAACGTGCCGGTGATCAAAACCCACTTCCAAGCTTGGTTCACCATGTCAATGAAGGCCTTCGTCGGCATGAGCAGCCACGACTCCCGTCGCGAATTCCACGGGGCCTTCAAAGGCATGAACAGCCTCTTCGATCAGAAGGCCTCCGGTAGCCGTCGTCGTCGTGGACGCGAAGGTCGCATGCTCGACATCGACGAGGTGAACCCCATGGTCAAACGCGTCGCCGAATTGAACCTGGGCCTCAAGCCCGCGCTCAACATCCTCGACGGAACGCAAAGCTTCGTCTTCGGCGGTCCTTCGCACGGCGATACGGCCGAGCCCAAGCTGGTCGTCGCCAGCCGCGATCGGGTTGCCGCCGATGCCACTGGCGTCGCAGTGCTTAAGCGTTACGGTACCGAACGCCGTCTGCAACGCTACTCGGTATGGGACAACCCTTTCATCCAACACGGCACCAAAATCGGGCTCGGCATCGGCTCAGCCGACCAGATCAACCTCAAGCACAGCGGTGCCGACGACGACATCGACATCATTAAAGAAGGTCTTGTCTAGTCAAAAACTAGACGAATCGCCTGACGAAAGTTCAACGCTGGGCGGCCCAGGTGCTAGAACCTGGGTCGCCCTTTTCTGTTAATGTCGCTTGCGTCTCACTTCCCACTCAGCCCTTTGGCTTCCTGACTTCGCACGGCACGTTCCAATTCACGCGCGGCACTCAAATAGTAGTTCCGTGCGTTCATGCTTGTCTGCCGCGCGGCCAGCGCAACCAGCGCTTTGGCCTTCAAGGCATGGGCTTCGCCGGGTTTCTCCGAAAGCACAATCAGGTGATCGGCCAGCTCAGCAGCCCATTGGTTGTCGCCGTTGTCCAGGGCTTCGCGAACCTGCTCGAGCAATGCTTCTTCCCCGCCGGCCAACTTCACCATGTGCTTGGCCCGATCGACCTGCGGCAGCGGAAATAGATGTGTGGCATTCCCATCGAACCATCCCAGCGAGCCCGTGCAAATCGCCCGCACCGACCACGGCACCGTACCATACGTTTGCTGCAAGTAAGGCTTGTTCGCCAGGTGCTCAGGAAGTCGAACCACGTCGACGATTTCCTCGACCCCCATCCCGGCATTCATTCCGGCATAAGTCTGCTCGATGATCGATCGAATCGCATCGCGATAGTCGGTCAGCACCTGCCGCACCTCTTCTTTTCCGCTGATCGGATCGGTGTGGCTGGGAATCAGGTGCTCGGGTTCCTCTGCAATCATAATGTCCAAACTGTCGGCCCAATGCCGGGGGTCGCGATACGGAGTGCCCCGAATCGCATACAAGTTCGGGAAAGCCAAATAATAGTTGTCACCGCACAACAATGCCTGCTGCTTCGGCAACCACACATAGATTTGGTCAGGCGTTTCCCCTGGGGCGTGAACCAATTCGAGTTCCACCCCGGCAATATTCATCGTGGTCCGCCCGTCGCCCACCGTTTTGGTCGGCGGAAGAAACTGCGAGGGCGCCCCGAAATCATCCAGCACCAATCGCGGGCCGATCCCCGCACCACGATGCATCGACTCTGGCAGCACAATTCCAAATTGCTTGATATTTCGCGAGAGCATCGCATTCCGCAATTCCTTCTGCGAACGCTCGATGGCCGGCATGAACTCTTCGTGTGCGATGATCTCAGTGTTCTCATCGGCGAACACTTTGGCCCCCATCACGTGA